CGCACACAGTGACGAATCACACACGAGGGCACGCAGTGATGAACTCCACGGTCACAGACACAGATACAATACAGTTCCACCCAAACGCACGTACACAGTGACGAATCACACACGAGGGCACGCAGTGATGAACTCCACAGTCACAGACACAGATACAACACAGTTCCACCCAAACGCACGCACAAAGTGACGAATTACACACGAGGGCACGCAGTGGTGAACTGCACGGTCACAGACACAGATACAACACGGTCCCACCCAAACGCACACACACAACCTCCCAGATCAACAGAAAATCAGAGCTTCTGAAATGATGATTAGAAAGACTGACACCTGGTGGTGAAAAAATAAACCATGAGACAGCTGCATACAATGGGCTGCAGGGCAGGGAAGTTTGTCTCTGCTCAGGGTCTCCTGGGCTTCCCCATGAGCTGCCATGAACACAGTGTCAACAGGGATAAAAGGCCACGGAGGAGGGCGTAATTACCTGCTTGCCCACACTGTTAATGTCAAACTGCAGTGCCACACCCTTGGGGGTCTTCCGCAGCTCTGGCTCCTCCTGCTTGAGAGGGGTGGGGGGCAGGGGGGGGCGCAGCACACGAGTTCGGGGGGGGCTGTGGAGAGAGAGAAAGCTGGATGGTAACATGAGGGGGAAGGTGTATGTGACAATAAGGATCAGATCAGATCACTTTATTAGCCACATACAATTTCTTGCATTAGGAATTTGTCTTTTCGCAAACACACAGACAGGGAGAGAAGCTTGGGGTCAGAGCGCAGGGTCAGACATTGTACGGTGCTCCTGGAGCAGTTGGGGTTAAGGTCTTTGCTCAGGGGCCCAACGGAGTAGGATTGCTCTGCCAGCCACGGGATTTGAACCGCCAGCCACAGGCGCCCCAAGGAGGGACAAAAATCAAAATTCTTAAACAATGCTCTAGACAAAATGTTTTATCCAAGGAGACACTTGTTTTCAAATCAGATCAAACTGGCATTAGATCCAGTTGCTGTGTGCCAAATATGTCAGTCAGGGGAGCCAGGTACACTGTGGTTTAAAGGAGGAGTTCCCTTTGCTCGTTTTCTTCAGTGTAGTGAGGAGAGAACACTTTTCACTTTCAGCGTGGGATAAAGACCGTTCATACCCGCGACGCATGAGGAAGAGCTGCTTGTTGGTACTCCTGAGTTTATTTTAAAGGCAAAGACACCATTAGCTCCAGATGACAATGTTAACAAGTCTTAAAATCCAGGCAATGAGCACATCAATTAGCCACAGTTGTGACCACTTAAGTTTCAGTCTGGGGCCTTGCCATACAATGCTTTTGTTCATTACCCTTATGTTTGGACAGTATTCTACTGTGTCGTTACCAAACACCTAGTAAACCCACCCGGGAGTTACAACAAGTGCAAAAAGGGGATTGGAACTAAAAAAGTGGAGCTTATCACATGGCCCATTGTATATGGTCTGCTGTCTTCCCAGAGGAAGAAAACCAGGATTTTAAACCACACTATATTTGTACCAGGACAGGTATTAACACAGCCTCCAATGTAAAAAAAACAAACTTTATCGATCACTATTGCAACATCCATAATGGAGTGTTGTGACTCACTCTGACGGTATTCTGGCAGTGGGGTTGTCAATGGATATGGTCAGGATTCCTCCGCTAGTGGTCGATGTGCGCCACCTAGAGCACAGGGCAATACAGCAAATTGTACAGAACTGGAAAGAACAGCATACGCAATCAGGATCCACACATTCACAAGACATTCACAAGACTGGAATGAGACCTGGCTATGGCTTACAAATCTGAGCTGCATTACATTGGTTCATATTATTTTATGACTGAATCAGAACTGAGAAGCAGTGGGAGGACTCACAGCCTTTCCACTTAATGCACGTGTGCTCAAGTGTCTGCTGTTAAATCCAGCAATGAGACGAAGAGGCAGACTTACGGCCGTGTCCTCTGGGTTGCTGGGGACAAGACAGGGTTCTGAACTTGGGCCTGAACCTGAGAGAGAAAGAAACAGAAAGGCACAAAGTAATTACAACTATATCGGGGAATTCAACGCAATTTTTGCAGTGGTGTTTCATTCTGGAGCCTTCCGACACTGACATGAGAAAGTCCTGCAGAGGAGGAGGGGAGGGGGGGAGAAGGGGTTTTAAGGATGAGTGTAAGGGAGAGAAGGAGGAAAAAGAGGGGAGAGGGCAGGAGAAAAAGAGGTGCGTACCTTTAGGCCACGGCGGAATAGAAAGGTGGCCTGACGAGCCTCTCTCTGGGCATGGTGAGAGGCGGGCGGCCATGTGGGGAGTATGTTCCTGCAGAGAGAGAGAGTAGGTGATCAGAGAGAGAACACAGTGACAAAGCACAAAATTGAGCAGCTGAGCCAGAGAGACAGGGTGAGAGGAAGACAGAGTTTCTGAGAAGACGGTGAACACACAACTGTGCTTAATGGCTGTTTAACACGGTTCTCTGCTCACCGTCGGCGGAGCTGTATGGGTCTGTGCAGGGGCTGGCCCTGGCTCCTCTGTGTGTCCACCTGTCCATACGGCTGTCGCTGGGAATCCACCTGCCGGTATGTTCGCCACTGGGCATCCGTCTGTCTGTATGGGACTGCCCTGCGCTGAAGAAGAGGCCGTGGTCTCTGGCAGAGGCAGGGACAGAGAAAAAGAGAGGAGG